CCATTCACCAGCAGCTAATGTAGCCGAAGATACAGATGGTATACAAATAGGCTTTACTGCCGTAGACATTGTTAAAGGAGTGCTAAGTTGTATTAGAGCAATATCATCAGCTTTAGTATTACTATTATAGCTTGGATGTACAGTAATAGTAGATGCTACTCGAGATTGACCATCATATTTAGCATTTGAGCCAGCATAAATAGTTACTTTCGATGCTGTAACTCCACTTACACAATGTGCTGCTGTAATGATCCATGTGCTTGATAAAATAGATCCACCACATAGTTTAACACGATCGCCACTAGTCTCAACTTTTACGGACACAACCCAACCCCAATTGTTTGCTCCTGCTGTTTCTCCACCAAGAATACGAGTAACTAATTGTGAACTAGAGGAACATCCACAAGTTGCACCTGAATCACACGAATAATTATATTGATAACTTGGTCCGATAGTAACAAGTAAAAGTGTCATCCAAACAGTGATCATATAATTCACCCTTGATTCTCGAGAAAGAAAAATGCATCTATTTAATTCATTTTTTTCGTTCTCTTTCGTCTGCAAGCAGACAGAATTGTGTTTCAATAGAAACAACAGAATACTGAACAGATTTCTCGAAAAATATGACGTCATATACATTTTATGTGAGACATTCTTACCAAAAACACACAACCAAAGCACATTCAAGAAGAAAACGTTTACCTGTTGTAGTATGATTCATAGACAAAAGAATGATTTTGGTGGCATTATAATCGATGCGAAACAAAATAATTATGAGTAGCTATCAAGTTTAAAATTCAAATATATCTTATTTACTTCGGATGAACAACGGTTATTATATATATAGCTTCAAAAAGTGTTTTCATTTTTTATTAAATTATTATTAAGAAGTATTCAACTAGAGAATTATATACCACAATTCTACAGTTAGGTTTGCCACTATATTAGTATGAATAGAATGAGACTAATGCATATATCAAATGTTTGAAGTTTTTTTCAATTCTATATGGATTGAGGTTTTAGCATATTTCGTTAGCCAGTATTCGAATTGTAAGAAACAAATGTTGTATCCCAGTATTATATAACTACAGATTCTGCATACAACAATAAACAATTTATCTGCTTTTGATAATCAAAATCTATGTAGTATATATCATTGATTAATCGTCTAATTTTACTTTAAAATATAAAATATATTTCTTTTGGATGTTATACAATAATAAAAATAAATAAATAGTATAAAGTATAACTTGTGAATAATAATTAATCTAATAAAAAAAGCAATCAATCTATTCAAGGACCGATGTTCATACATGAATAGTGCATAGTTTTTAACAATGAACAATATAACAAATCAAAAAAAATTATTTTCGTTAAATACATATCTAATGTTCACCAATATCTAGAGAATTTATTCTATAGTATAATGTATTTAAGATAATATTTAAGTAAGATTAATACACAATTTAGTATGTTGGTATGAAAGATATAAAATAATTTTGGGATGTAATTTCATTATACCTATTTATCGTTAAAACTCTGTAGGGTTATAGTTTAAAGTTCATTCATACTCACCTGTTGCAACTAATGACATCTTTCGATAATCATTTCGTGATGGTCAATCTGTTTCTAAGATACCATTCATAAGAGTGATCAATGAAATGGATTAAATAAGTTGTGGTTCTTTTTTTCTTTTGCTTGCTTTCTTTATCAATCATTGATGTAATCAATAAACACTTAAAATGCTCGATCCTCCACAAAACTCCTCTCGACCATTGATATCTATAACACCTCGAAAAAAATCTGTTCGTTTTAATATAACATCTCCATCACCACGAATTCCACCATTAACAATTCAAGATGATTCAAATCATCGACATCATCCATTAAATATATCTTATACAATTCCCTCTACAACGATTAATATCGATCATGTAACAAATCAATCTCATATGCAACATCTGAATAATCATGTTGAATATATTCCATCGACACGACGAAATAATTTACAAATTAATGGTGAAAAAATTGTTCCACAACCTAGAACACTTGATGAACTCAATCAATTTATGAAAACAAAAGCTGAAAATCTTCGTAAAAATATGTCACAAGTAACAGATACATTTATTCATGCTAGTACACATTTAAATCGTTTGAAAGAAGGTAAAATTTTCTACCTTATTATTTCTTTTTTTTTTTCTTCAAACTCATATTTAGAACAACAAGCTACTTTGAAACGACCAAGTCGAATACCTGTTTCTGTTCGTCTTCGTTCACCATCACCGCCAGTTGTCATTTATAGAAAACCACAACATCGTGCACTTGATGATTTACGATGGTATTGTTTAGCAAGAAAGTTTTCTATCCTATGGCAAAAATATGTTTTTGGTTGTCATCTTCGTAAAATAAAATTAATGAATGAAAATAGATTACTTAAAAAATATTTTCATTTATGGAAAAATACATCCCAAAATGATCAATCTGAATTGATTGCTATCGAATTTTATCAACGACAATTATTAAAAACTTATTTTCAAATTTGGTTAACTTTTATTTCACAAAATCAAATAGCAGTTGAACATCTTAATCATAAACGAATAAAAAATACATGGAATATTTGGAAAATACAATTGAATAAAAGACGTTTACATCAACATCAATTTATGATTGCTAATGAACAATATCATCGAATGATTCTAACTCGCGTATGTTTTGTTTTAAGTTTTTTCAACATGACCATCTGTAGAAGCATATAACTCAACTTTTTCTTTTGTTCTTTTTAAAGTTTTATCATATTTGGCAAATCAATACCAATCAACGACGACAAGAACATGAAAAACGTTTACGAGCTAATTATCATTATCGTATACATGTACAAAGAATTTGTTTAAATGCATGGTTTACTTATAAAGATTATCGGCAAAAGAAAAATCTTCATAAGAGTGAGAAAATTTAATTTGAATTAATCATTGATTTATTAAATTTGATTTAGATCGTGTACATGAATATTATCAAAAGCATTTACTTGGAAGAATTTATAAAAATTGGAGACAAGCATTAACAAGAAAATTATTAATTCAACAACATGAATCTCGGCTAGCTCAACTGCAAGAAAGAGTTTTAACACGATGGGCATTTGAACAATGGAAGTCATGTAAGCAATTTTTTTTAAATTTAAAAGATTTTCATTTTATTCGTTAAATTTTCTATAGATATTAATGATTTAGCTGATGAAGAACGTACAATGCACATGGCTGAACAGTATAGCGATCGAAGAATTGTGGTAAGAATGAACAAAGACTCGCTTTCTTCTACTGGGTATTTTATCAATCTCTTTACTGAGGGGATGGATGTGACGTAGAGAAATTTTCAGTTTGTGAAATCTGCTATTGCTTCTTACGAATCAAAAATTGTTCAAGTTAAAAAAGCACAGATTTATATATCATATTTATTTCTTTTTTCTAAAAAAAAGCGTTCGGCATTTACAATTCTTCAGCAATATGTATTAAAACGTCGTATGAAACAACGAGCAAACTGGATTGCTGTTCAACATCGAGCTCAGATGGTATTTTATCTTTTTTATTTATTTTTAATAATTTAATTGAATTTTAGATAAAACGTATTTATTATCGAATATGGAAATATCGATTAGAACAACGTGAAAATATATACATGCTTGCTGAATTTCATAAAGCTGAATCATTTTATAATATGAAAATTACAATTCGTTATTGGTTTTGTTGGAGACGATATATTAATGATTGTCGACAAGAAAATGTAAAATTAAATATATAACTTCGTATTTTTTATAACTATCTCATCCAATTTTTTTCAGATTGAATTACATACAGTTGATAAATATTATAATTCAAAATTACTACGTAAATATTTTCATCTTCTTCGTGCTAATATTACAGATGAACGTCATGAACAGTTACTTGAAAAACGAGCAGTTGATCATTATCGGTAAAAGAATGATTATTTTATTCCATTGAATTTCATATAAGGACTTTTTCTTCTTCAGCTCACGATATTTACGACTTTATTATCTGTACTGGAAGGTACAAACACGTACAAATGAGCAATATCAAATGAATTGGAGAATTGTTAGTTAAATAAAAATTGAAATTTTACGTAATCTTGTTTTTCTCTTAAGGCAATTGTTCATGAAGAAAAAATGATGCGTGAAAGATATTTTAACATTTGGTTAAATCGAGCACATTCAAGATTGATTGATAATGAACAACATGTAAAAGAACGAATTAATGAATTCATATTTGTATTTTGTATATTTAAAGATTGTTGCTGAACGTCATTATTTTCGTACAATTATTGTTCGAGCTTGGTTAGCATGGCGACAATTAATTGATGATAGTCATAATGAAGAAAGATCAGAAAGACTTGCTATTCAATTTTATTATCATAGTATCGAAAGGCGTACATTAAATGCTTGGAAATTGGTAAAATGTTTTTAAAGTATTAAATATAAAGTATTTTTTTTTGAATTGTAGTATATTCGTCATTGTCATTATATGAAACAAATGCATCGTGAAAGTCAACAATTTTATTTACAACATCGTGGTAAAAATATATATTTTAAATGGTTAAATAAAGCTCGATATAGACGAAGATTAATGGTAATTGTTAATGAACATTTTGATCGTAAACAACGTAATACGTTAAGGTATTTAAATATACTTTCTTTGTTTCTAGTAATAGTTACATCTTGAGGGTGTGGGTGTTGCCGTTGTTAAAGAAGAAACACTCATACCGGCCCACACCCACACCCTCAATAGTTGTTCACTAAAGGATTATTTAATACTTAATTTTATTCATTTATTAGACAATATTTTCGTCAATGGCGAGATAGTATTCGTGAAGAAAAAGATGATCGACAATTACTTCAATATGCTCAAGATCATTATAATCGTTTATTAAAACGTAAAGTACTTCTTGCTTGGAATAATGAAATAATTCAACAAATTCTAATTGATAATGAAAATGAAATTAAATTGAATAAATATAAACAAGGAAAAGATCATTTTTATTTACAAATTGTTTATCATAAATGGAAACAAATAACTAACGAACATTTACGTGATCGGTTTCTTAATCAACGTTCACAATTATTTTACGAAAGAAGTTTATTAAAAAAATCGTTTTCACAATGGAAAGAACAACATCATGTTGATATGCGTATTAAAGTAAATGAAAAAGTTTTATTGTAATTTTATTTATTTATTTTTTTGATTAGTTACTTGAACGACAAGCTATTTGGTTTGATCGAATGCGTTTAATAAGTCGAGTTTATACACAATGGAAACAAAGTTGGCAAATTGAACAAAAATTACATGAACAAAAACATCGAGCATTACTTTTTTGGGCTATACAAGTACAAAAAAAGGTTTCATATTTTCTAAATCCATTTTCTTAAATAAAAAAACCTGTCTTCTTCTAGTGTTTCGTAAAATGGCTAATTTATATCAGTGAACGTAAAAGAAAAAAGGCTCGATATAATCAAGCAACTCATCATAGACATGATGAACTTATACGACATAGTTTACGTCAATTTCTTATCTATACAGATCATACAAGATTAAGACGACAAGCTTTATTTATTCATCAACAAGTTTATGTATGTAACAAATTTGATAAAATAATCAAACTATATTTTTTCCTTTAGTTATATCATGATCGAAATGCTTTAGCATTGAAATATGTTTGTAAATGGCGAGCATTTGTTAAACAATCCATTTCACGTAAACAATTAACACAACATTTTATCAAAAGAACCACAAATGTTATACCAATAACTAAGAATCCACTTGCATTAGTTAAATTTGATAATAGTCCACCAAAGTAAATCTAACAGATATTTATTTTCTATACAGAATGAACATATGAATCAGTAAATTAAATAGCTCTTCCGTATTCATTTTGACTTATAGAATTTAATTTTATGAAAAATATTAGATTGACAGACTAGAAATGAACTCTGTCAAACTGCTGTTTTTTTTATGTTATTAGAATAAGCAATCGACCACGACCAAGAAAGCCTGCATTCTTATCTGATTCGTTTTCTACTTCAACAGTTAACAAAACGTAAGTTTTTATTTAAATGAAACCTTCAATAAATCTTGTTTTTTACTTGTTCAGAACTTCTGAAACACCTATTATCACTCTTCGATCACCACCATCATCGCCACCTCGATTGCCTCCTCCAACAATAGATCATTCATTACATTCTCCATTTGTTAGTGTAAAACAACCATTACATATTCGAAAAGATGCATCACCACCACCACCACCACCACCACCACCACCAGTACTTCTTCCACCATCTGCTTTTCAATTAACTCATGATGAAATCAAAATGCCATTATCATCTCGAATAATAACTGATGATAAAATTTCTATTCCTCATCGACCATATTCAACTCAACCATCATCAACTATATTAATTGATAAAGATAATTTACTTAATGTCAAACAACGCTTAGAAATTTATCTTCAAAATAAAGCAAAACTTAAGTAAAACAAAAAAAAACTACAAAATCTCTTTTAATTCACATATATCTATTTTAGACGTCTTCGTCAACAACTAGCTAATTCATCTTCCACGCAAATTGATGCACAAGTAAATATTTATATTTCTAAATGTTTTCGAATTTTTTTTTTTATTTTCCTTAGCTTGAACAAGAATGTCAACAGTTAACTACATATATTGCTTCAGAAAAAATTCATTTGACTACTATATTACAAAATTTATAAGATTTTTTCCAGTGCCTTGTTTTCTTTTTTGTATCAAACTATGTTTACATGTGCGTTTTTTATATAAATAATGGATAGATTATGCTAAATAAATTACATTGGGTTAATCATAGAGGAATGTATTATATTTTATATAGGCATCAAAAAGATAATTGTAATATAGATAATGAACAGATCCGAATGTCAAGTTTAATAATATGCACTTTTGCCTTTTTTCCTTTCAGTGAATAAATAATTCTTAATGATAGGTGAAGTTTTATCTTATTTACTGTTTATTTATGATAAATCACGCTATGATTTTTGAATTGTCAAATGTTAATCATAAGTGAATATAAAAAGTCATAGAATGTGGATAGAATATTGAGAACTTTTTGTTAGGGTGTTGATGACGAGAAGAAGAAAAAAGAGAGAGAAAAAGAAAAAGTAACAAGATCTTCCTTTCATTTTTATAATTCCAGTCTAGAACAAAACACGCACATATATCTCGGAAAAATAATAATAATAGTAGCTTTTGTTGTGAATATTTCTTAATGCTCATCATGTCAATGAAAAATAGAAAAAAGTATGGTGGTGTTTTTTTTTCTTGTGTCCATTAAAAAAACAAAAAATTAATATAGATTTTTCTTCTTCTTCTTTAATAAAGTAATTAACATAAAAAGAAATCAAGGTCTTTCTTTTTTTTTATAATATGACAGTTAATGAATATCCGGTTTAAAATATAGACAACTACTTAGTTCTTTTTACTTTTTGTTGAATAGTTGATTTTTCATCATATTTTAAGAAACTTCGATAATTTATAATTGATGAATCAATCGAAAATTCCAACATTTACATCAATTATTCCTACTGAACAATCACCAACGACAATTTGTGGTCAAGGATATGTTTATATGGGTCCATTAACATCAAAATATTATAAAATCCCATCAGAATGTGTTAATAATATAAAACAACAAACTATAGTTTCAACTGAAACAACAACAACAACAACGAATAATAATCAATACCAATTTAAAGTCATGCTATTAGGTGATAGTGGTGTTGGTAAGTATTTCTTTCTAATTTTCAATTGGTTTTTCATTTCATGAAATTATAGGTAAGACATGTTTACTTCTACGATTTAATGATGGAACATTTTTTACCGGAAATTTTATTACAACTGTTGGAATTGATTATAGAAGTAAAGTAGTAACACTTGGTGATAAAAAAATCAATTTACAAATATATGATACAGTAAATTTATTTTCTTTTTTTTCTGGTTCATGATATTTAATATTCGATAACAGGATATACTGGGGTTTTTTTCTAGGCCAATAAAAGTTTTTTTGAACTAAACTAAACGAACTAATCTCTATAGATTTTGTCACACAATTACCAGGCTCATAATTTTTCCCTGTAGAATAGATCAACTTAAAATTTATTTCTAGGCTGGTCAAGAACGTTATCGATCTGTAACACATTCTTATTATCGTGATGCACATGCATTATTGTTACTCTATGATATAGCATCGTATTCATCATTTGAAAATATTTCATCTTGGTTAAGTGAAATAAAAGAATCAGCTCATAATGATGTTATTATAATGTTAATTGGTAATAAAGTCGATAAATCTCAACGTGTTATATCACGTGAAACTGGTGAACGTTTAGCAAGAGATTTTCAAATAAGTTTTCTTGAAACATCCGCTAAAACAGGTCAAAATGTTGAATTAGCTTTTATGGCAACAGCACAAGCTTTACTTGACAAAAAAATCCATGAAAATAATGCTAATATATCATTAAATGATCTTGTTAAAACGACTAATACTGAAACAAATTATTCATGTTGTTAATCAAATTTTATTTATTTGTTTTTTTAGTTGTGAATAGAAATTCTATGTAATATATTTCAATTGTAAACATATATTATTTGCTTGTATAAGATGCAAAGCAAAATGTTGATCTAAGAGAAAATAATTTTCAAAAAACAATTTTGTTTTTATTTTTAAAAATTTACCTAATAGTTGATAAATATGAATAAATTGTAAAAGATTTGATGATGACGCTGAACAAAGTTGTTGACAAATTGTTTGGTATTCATGGTTGATTGGCTTTTGAAATGTTTCAAAAATAAATAGTAAATGTGAAGATGATGATGATGGAATTACATAAACTGATGTTTTCTCAAAGGTATGGGTAAGACGATAAATTACTGATGCTTGTAAACGAGTAAGAATAGGTGTTGATTGAATATAATAAACACCTTCTTTTGATTGTAACTAAAAGATTTTTCGAAATAAAGATATCGTAATTTATAAAATGAGTATTATATATCTTCTCTGACGTTATATTCAAATTGTACCCATATTCCTCAGATGTCATCAAGGCATTTTATGATAGTTTTTCTTAAAGAAAAAATAACATACTTTACCCCTTTAAAGTACTTCTCTATTTCCTCAAATTTTCAGTTAAATTATGTTATTATGATAATCAATGTACCGAATTAAATTATGTTTGAAAATATCATTATTTTCAATATTAGTATTTTTGACGTCAGAAGTAAGTAAAAATAGCTAGTGTGGTCTACGATTTTCATGGATGAAAAGACGAGAAAATTAATCACCTTTGAAAAACATGCACCATAATGACCTATTATCTCAGATCAACAGTTCCCGATATTACGTACTCTCATACTTTTCACCGGAATATCAAACTGTGATAATAAAGACTGTAAAAATCAGAAGTTTGTCATCTAGATACGTAGTAGGTCATTTTTATGCATTTTATTGCGTGCTTTTCAGAGATGATTAGTTTGGAAAGAAAACAAAATGTCATGAATTAATCTATAATCTATTTCAATGTGAAATGGCCACTCTCATGATATTTATCCTACTTAATTCTAACACTGATAGTATTCTTCATTTTTAATTTATCTAAAGTTTAAACATACATTCATTTGATAATCACTAGCAAATTGTTGGAGTTGTTTAAATTCTTCATTGGAAATTTCTACTGATGATGAATTTCGAATTGATGTTAAATTAATTGAATCTTCATTCTTTATTGAAGAAAAATAAAATATATATATTATTCTATATAGAATGATGATCCAAAACTGCGCTATATCTGTTTGTAGGAACGCCAATTAACCTTCTTGGTTATTGCCTGAGTTCCGAGACTTTTGTTGAATCTTAGGGATATTATTCTATAAACAGATGCAGTGCAATTCCAGGAACTTTTCGATCTTCTTACTAATAAAATTGTAGATGAATTCGTTTTTTGACATAATTCAAGTAAATATCTATTACAAAAACATGAATTTTGTATATTTATCGATTGTGTACCAAATACACAATCAATCATTATTGGACTATCTGCAGTCAGTTGTCCAATATATATCTGAGAAATTGTTGTAGGTCGATGTTCAATGAATTGACATATTGTTTGACATGTTTGGCATAAATCATTATCTTCATTTTTTGAACATATTAAACAAAACTCTCCTTTGTAAATTTGATTTTGTATCATATTAATATCGATTTGATGTTGATTATTAAATGTACCCGTTCGAGTTAATCGATTATTGTATGGATATAAACGTTGAAATTTGAGATTTGTATTTAATAAATGTCGATCAGTTGATAATAATTCTCTTGCTTGACTTTCATTAAGAAATCTATCCAATAGATTCGCTTTTATTTTATGTAATTTTTTAATAAAGTTTCGACTTAAATTATTAAAATAATATAAATTATGTTCAATAGTATTTATTTGATAGGATTGAAATAATTCCGAACATTCAATAAGTTGTTTAACAAATGATATTGAATACGGTATTGATTTAATTTCCAGATTATCATTAAAACAATTTGTAAATTTTTCACGATTAAAATCCATACAAATTACATAGACTTCTGAATTACCTTTCTTATAAAGAAATACGTTGTATTAATATTTAAAAATAGCACTAAATTATTTATCTTACTTTACTTGTTTTTGGTTTAAACATTGATATCTAAAGAATTCCTGATTAAAAATAACCCAAAAAAAAAAACTTTTTTCTACCTGACGAAATGTTCGATAGAGTATATAGATCAAATCAATTGTTATTTGTTCAAATATTGTAAATAATTTGAGAACAAAATTTCCATGTGTTATTAAACATGATAATGCAATATAAACTTCCGTTTTCAATAATGGATAAACAAGATATTCTTGTTCACCGGGATTACTTTGTACATCAAAGCTCCCATCGGCTGTTATCTAAGAAGAATATATTAATGTCTTATTAATTCATCAGATTTTAATTCAAATGTTATACAATTTTCGAATACACTAGAGACTGTCAAAGAATCAAGTCACGATATCTAGGTTTTCTTTTCTTTTCTTTTTTTTTCATTATTAATTTTGTCAGTATCTTGAGATTTGTATAGATAGAATTAATTTTTCATTTTATTCACCTTGATTCAAGGGTATTTATTTAATTAATGTTTTAAAAAATATGTTTCAAACGGAATCAACATATAGACATTCTCGATTACGATTAATTCGCAACATGTGTTCAATATTATCAATGTATACATATATTCTCGCATTATTACATAATATCAGAAGAAATTAATTAATGGCTTCGCAGTTCAAGGATAGTAACACACATATGAGATTAATATAATGAAAAATAGCTACTAGATGATAAGGCTCATCAAATCGAATATTTATTAAAACTTATTGTGTCTTCTTTTTATTATTACATACTTAACAGATTTCTGAAGTCATTTTTATTAATAATCTTTTAACTAAGAAGATAGAGATCTAGCTTAATCAAATATAATACTTCTAGATGTTTGATTATTCTCAAGGTAGTTCTATCTTGTTACACAAAAAAAAAGAAGCACATTATTTCTCATCGATAAATAAAAAAGATAAGATTACATAAGTCAATTTTTGATATTCGAATAGGATAGTTTTCAAATTCAATGATTCTTGAGATATCATATTACACTTACAAAACTAATATTCATTGGTTGAAAACGTGAAATATAATGATTAATATTTGCTTGATTCATTATATTACCACTATTATCTATCCCAAAATCCCAATGATTGTCATCGATGGTATGATATATTAGACGATCATCATCAATAAGCATTGCTGCTGTTAATTCATCATGTTCATAATAAGGATTTAATGTTTGAGCAAACCATTCCCATTCGACATTTTTTGTTTCTTCTAAAAATAAATAAAAAAAACTATAAAAAAAAAAGAATGATGATGTATCAATCATATACCTCGAGTAATGAGAAAATGATTAAGAGCAGAAATAAATCCACCGGGTGCTTCACATAAATGAAGTGTTCTCCATTTTTCATTATTTACATGATTAATTAATTGGAATTTAGCTAAGATTTCAAACATTTTTGCCCATGCTTGTGTTCCAATTTCAATATGTAGTTTTTCACGTAAATAAGGTACAATAGTTGAAGCAGTATTCATATAAGCAGTATGTCTTAATGAATAAAAAATAAAATTAATTAAGATTAATCTGTCTTTCCTTCTTATCAAATAACAATAAGATGATTGTCATTAGTTATTTCAGTAGGATTAATATATTCGAACCTGTTCCAATCAGTAATATCTTTATCAGAAAGTAATGATTTAGTATGATTAAGTTGTTGTTTGATTTCAACTAATTTCTCTAAGAAATTTGATATATCTTCGTCTTCAATATTATTACTAAAATTATATATAGACAGATAGATTTGATTTATTTCAAAGGATTATTCATTTACTTCTCAACAACAAAATCAAATCGTATGTCTATATGTTCAGATATCGGTTTGTTCTGTTCTTTTCCTTTATGTTTAGCATCATTAGACTCTTCAAATTCACATTGTCGTTTCCTTGTATTTGCTGATTCATCAATATTTTTATTTACATTCATCTTTTTTTTTTATTTGTCTAAAATAAATATACACAGAATTAAATATCTTTTTATCCAAGTCGATAGCTCATTAGTCAGTTTTTTTTTCTTTGATAGATAGCGATAGCGGAAATACAATTAATTTCTAATTGAATAGATTCTTAATTTTTCGTTTACAAATCATTTGCAAAGCAAAATAATAAACAACAACAAAAGAGAAGAAAGAAAGAAAGAAAGCAAATTATCCCATACCCGAAAAGAAATCCTAATCACTGTCAATTCTATGTTTCTATAATCTGACACAACCTGTCTTAGATAAAAAGCTTTATATACGCACACATTTAAAATATTAAAAAAAAAGCGATAGGCATTTTTGAAACAAAGAAAAAAAAAGAAAGGCAAATAATAGCATTCTCAATAGATTTAAAAAAGCTTCAGACGTTTTTTCAGATCAGTACGACGCCAATCAGGTAAACGATAATATTCCATTCGTGTCATTTGAAATAATTTATGAAATTCATTATCAGATAAATGACGCTAAATAAAAAAAAGTTTATTTATAAAGAAATATGTATATGAAAATATACTTCAAGATGATCACGATTAACATCTGATGGTAATCGTTTTCGAAACATAATTTTCAATTCTTCATATGGATAAATCTTTGGATTACTCATTAAAGCTGGAGCAGAATGTGTTGAATGTGCATGACGTGATTGTATATAACCACCATCAGCATTAACCGTCTAAGATTGAAAGAAAACAGTGCTTATTCAAGGTGAAAAAAAAGAGTATCGTTTTATAATGACATAAATCTCAAGAGAATAAAAATTTTTTATATTAAAGTCTAATGAAATTTTGTCTACAAACCTTGGTTGATTTATTTTGATCTCCATCATTTGAATCTAGAAATATAAAATATCGATAGAGAGTATAGAAAAAGACAAAAAAAAACTATGTTACTTACAACTTGAATTTGTCGTTGAATCTAAATCACAACTTCTTTCTATATCAAGACGATGTGATAATGTTTGAGTTTTAGGTGAAGGTGAAAGGCTATCATCAGGCCGAAGTACTAATGTTTCACATCTTTGTTGATATCTTGGTAAAGTAATACGTTTCCCTCCAGCTGGTGTTGTGAAAATTGATGCTGATAAACCAGCAAGGCTATCGTCTTGATTAGTTGTTGATGATGAATGTGTATGTACACGTCGTGATGGTGACGCAAATGTTGGTGTTTCGAAACGACAACGTCTTGGTGGTTCAATAGCTGCTGATGGTGAACGCGATGCTTTCCATGGATCAAGTGGTAATTGTCTTGAAATAATTTTTTCTTGTATACGTAAATCTTCAAGTAATGCATGTGCCATACCAGATGATTCTTTGATTTTTGACATCTCATTAATATCTTTTTCTAATTTTTCATCATGACGTAATTCATTATCATTATCGTCATCACCATGATTATTATGTGACATAATTTCATTAAGAATTTGTTGATCATTAGTATCCGATATTGTATCACTATGATTTGAATGAGATTCACTTTGACTTCGATGAGACTTCATTAATTCGGGTACTGCTTGAAGTGCAATTGGTGCTGGCCAATCAAGGGATTCGATTTTTTTTGGTGCTGTAGGATCAGGAATAAAACCACCTGAATAACGAGAAAGTACAATTGGTTCAGTTTCAATTGTTGATTCATGATCAGGCGTTGTCGTTGTCGTTGTTGTTGTTGTGGTAACAGATTTTGGAGTTGAACAATGAACTTTACGAATTTTTGTTTGTCCTTAACAAAAAAAACAAAGAATAAACGATACATAAGAAATTTTAAAATATACCTGTTACTAAGGCTTTCATGCCTTTTTTAGTTCCCGGTACAGTAAATGTTTGTGTTCGATTGTATGAAAAACCAACTAGAAGAAAGAGAAAATTAGTTTTATTTTGATAAGATATAAAATTCTATGTATGATGTAATTATTTAAATATGCCTATTTACTTTGTTAAATATATTAGAATTATTTGAAGAATTTATAAAATTCTTTTGTCTTAGTTTAGTTCTCATTAATATTAAATAATGGACAAAATACCATAAAATCTTTTTTTTCTATATATAGAGAGAGAGAGAGACAGAGAACTGATTATAATATTGCCTATATATCATGATCGCTTGTAGACAATATACTACTCAGCAATTGCTCTTAGATCTTTTGATAAGCATAAGAGAGAGAGAGAAAGGGGAAAACGAGCTTCGTCTCATTACATCATCTGTAAAAGTAAGCACATTAGTCAAGTGAACAAATACGTGCATATGCATATGTATTTAATTGAATTATGATCTTTACTATCTCGAATAGTACGTAGAATAAGGGAATTAGTGTTGTATGATTGACATAATCCCATTCTCATCTATTGTTTAGCTTGATTTCTAATCATTATTCTGATAATAATAATAGGATGAAGTACGATGGCAAAACTTTAATATCAACACTTACTCATTTCTTTACGTAAGGACGAAGTTTGTTGCTGCTGGTGAACCATCAACATTATCGGTCGCTTGTGTATGTGTGTGTGTGTGTGCGTGTCGTCTTCTTATCGCCTCATTGTTAATAGTAGCTGCACACACATACACAAAGCAAAATTGGTTTTTTTTCTCTGTCTCTTTCTCTCGGTTGTCTTTCTTTTTTTTTCTCTTCATTTCTTTATTCGTCCTCGACGTCTACTATCGTTAGTGAGAATGTTTTTTTCCAATTGTGTTACTACGTTCATCATCATCATCATCATCTATTTTTGAGCTATCGCATTCAAACTTCTCGATATGATTCGCTTTTCATTCTGACGAAGCAAGGTCATATGGCTGACTGCATGTATATACATTTCCAATACCATTTTTCTTCTTTTTTTTCCCATCGTCATTCGTTCGATTCTATCTATTTCTTTTCTTTTCTTTGCTTCTTTTTTGTATTCCGAACTCCGGAAATAAACGAACAAAAAGAAAGGAAAAAAAATCCTACACAGCTGCCATCTTAACATTGAGCAGATGCTTAGGAAAGAGGATCATATTCACCTGCTGATTACTCAATAGATATTGCTCTTTTTCTATTCCTTCATCAAGTCGTGTAATCGATATCATCATCATAGGAAGTAACAGCAGTTTTGTGGTCATCTTTCAACCGAAACAAATTATTCTTAAATGACTTCATTGCCTTCTTTCTTTCTTTCTTTTTATATTGCATCATTATTTTATACTCATCTCTGTTCATTACACAACGAAAATCGATGAGTTCAGTGATAGATTTTAATTGATTAATAAAAAAGAAGAAGAAGACGCGGTAACAATTAAAAACATAAAAGATATAATTACTTGGTTGATGAAATTGCAATGATTTAGTACATGAAATTTTATGATCTTGACCACTTCTTTTCATATAACCCATATTTTCTTCACCATTTAAATAACCAGATGTTAATATTCGACTAAGGTCACTTCTACCTATTTGACTTGATGATGGTGTTGTACCTATTGTATGTGCAAGACAAGTCTAATAAATAAAAAAAAAAAAAGAAGAAATTGTCGTGATGATTGTCACTTAATTTATCAAGTAATCATCGTTCATGATTAAAAATATTTTATCACTATGTCTCGCCGACATGCAATGTCTCCCTAAGTATCATTGATCATCTACTTACTTTTTGAGGTGGTGATAAACTTGATAGTTCACGGGGACTTGGCTCACTCGAATTATAGGTGAATAAAAGTTTATCGGATGAATTTTGAATAATATTAACGTGAATATTATCATTCGTGAGATTTTTGTCATGTGTTATTGGTGATACAACAGATGTTGAATAATCATGTATATTATTTTCTTTATTTTCACTAATAATTGGTTCAGATTTTTTAATTTTACTATTTTAATACAAACAAGACTTTATTAAAAAACGATTTTATTCAATGATATTGTACTTACGACTTTTTAAAAAATGAAAACATAATGCCGCTCTAGAAAAAGAAAAAAAAGAAAAGAAACTATTACATTCATGTAATCTACTATACAATCAAAGGTATCACTTCTAGTATTTTTTTTTCTTTTTTTTCGTTTCTAATGTGAACAAAATTTTATGTCGATATATATATAGGCTTCACACGATAATATACGAAAGAGAGAGTGAATGAATGAATAAATGAATGAATGTATAACACACCTACCGTATTGTAACTGTGTCGTCGAGTTTTTTTTCTCTTTCACATAAAATAACTGAGGAGAAAAAACGAAGAAGAAGAAGCGAAAATGTAATGATCGTCTTCTTTCTTTTTTTTTGAAAGATATGGCAAGTTAATATATTAAAAATGATCAATATAATAATTCTATTGAATAATAATGAAGCTGACGTAATAGAGATATCAATTTCTGTGAGAAATGATAATGAATAAAACAATAAGTTTATAATTATTGAGAAGATCTATGCATTGAAATAATGCTTTCGATCTACTCATTTACTGCTGCCATGAAGGCGGCAGCAGTACCAACACCTATTACCAGCAATAATATCGAGAAATATCAATAGAATGCATAACCAGTAGATTTTTTTTTCTTTCTCATTCCGTCTCTCTGTCTCTGTCTCTCTCTCCCTCTGCCTCCCTCTCTGTCTTTCTCTTTTCGGCCAGCATCCGTTGATAAATAAAGAGCATAGTGCTTTATTTCTCCCGGTTTTTTTCTTCTCTCCCTTCGTTGTCAGACGACTATGTCCGTAAGATAGAAAGATCTCATTTGTTCTAATATGCACTATATACATACATACTATGCCGATAGGTCACCGACATTAAGATATACACAGTCTGTCCATCATTTTCTCTTTTCTTTTTAATATATGTTCTGATATCTTTGTCTGTGAATGAAAGGGAAGGAAATAATGAAGTGACGTACATGATGACAAAGAATAAAACTATTCTACGGATATCCGTTCATATCACCGTCATCAATTAAAAAGCTATTTATATAAATAAAGATATCAAATTTATACATAGATATGTTTCACCTTTTAAAAAGATCTCACCGATGATATATGAATGAATGATTATCAATATTATGCAAATGTATGCATGTTACGTGTCAAACAACGCTGAATGAACGAATGTAATTTAGTATATATATATATATAGATATAATTTCTGTGCATGCCACTCACACATCAAACATACATATTATGTATATACTTTCATTTATCTGGCTTACCTGCTTAATATATCTGTAGAGATAAAATCATTATTGAACAGATTTTCGACTGTATTTATCAAGGATAATGAGATTAAGAAGAGACATACATATAAGTAATCTCAAGTAAAGATGAAGATGATGTCAAAAAAAAAGAATGATCTCTTCAAAAATTGATCATCGCCATGTTTATCTCATATAAACCTCTAATAAAGAACACTATGAAATTATGTTCTGTTTATGGGAATTAGACTTTAATCAACTTAACTGTTCTATTTATGTTTAATTAATTAATTTAAAATTTAATTTAAAATAATTCTATTGATTTCTAGCGACATCTAAAAACTTTCAAAAGTATTTGAAATAAATAAAATAAAATGAAAATTTCATATTTCATTATTTCCTAACAAAATAATCTAGAAAATAATCATTTTTATATTTAATAAATAACCAATCATTAATCAGTATCGATCATATATCTATATTGTTGCTCAGATGATGATGATGTATGTGATGATGTAGAAAACGAAGAAGAAGAAAGAAGAAGAAAAAAAAGAACTATATTGATATTTTTAGATTTCTAGTTCATTTTATCATGATTATTAATTAATTAAAACGAAAATAACATGACTATATTTTCATCTAAAAAACCTTCGAATTCAAATAAAGATTTATCATCAAATTCAACAAATCAACAACAACAACAACAGCAATCATCCTCATCGAATATATCTCGTACACGTTTATCACGTGATGATGAAAATACAAATAATATCATACAAACAAATTCAAGTGAAGAATCAAATTTAGTTTGTGAAAATAATCTTCCATCAACATCATCATTAACAACAAATACAATTTTAACAACAATAACAACTGCACCTGTATCAAAACGTAAATCTCATTATCATCATCAAACAACAGTTAAACAAGCTAGACGACGTGGTGGTTCAGTTGGAGAAAAATTAATCTCAAATTCATCCGTAACAAATGTTACTTGTAATAGTAGTCCATCAACTAGTTTAACAAATGAGAATAATATATCGTCAAATACAAATTCAAATGAACATTTAACACAACCATCAACATCAACATCATCACTTACAACAGTTAATAATGATGAACAATGTAACAGTGAAGATGAATATGAACAAACAGCACCGAAATATGATAGAAATAATCTCACTGATGTTTGTTATTTTTATTAAATTAATATGTTCATCTTTTTTTTATTTTTCATAGCTTGAAATGCGTTTTGCTAGAGCGTTAAAAGAAAAAAAAGGTTTTGTTATTAAACCGGTTCAAGAAGATGGAGCATGTTTGTTTCGAGCAGTGTGTAAGTACACCGAATCTATATATTTTTTTAATAAAATATATTTTTATTTATTTATTTAGCTGATCAAGTATTTGGTGATGAAGAAATGCATGCAACAGTTCGACAAAATTGTATGGATTATATTGTAAGTTAATATTATATAAATATATGATCTTTTTTTAATATTTTTGTTGTAAAGGTAAAAAATGCTGATTTTTTTGGTCCATATATAACAGAAGATTTCGATCATTATATAACACGAAAACGACTACAACATTGCCATGGAAATCATATTGAAATGATTGCACTTTCAGAAATATATAATAGACCGATTGAAGTTTATGAATATAGTATTGGTAAGAAGAAGAATATTATTTTTGAAATAATTATTTTTTTTGTCTATTATTTTAGAACCAATTAATATTGTACATGGAATGTATAAAACAGATAATGAACCTATTCGTTTAAGTTATCATTGTAGTGTTCATTATAATTCAATTATTGATCCTTGGAGACCAACTGCTGGTCATGGACTTGGATTTCCTGATCTAGAACCAGGAGTATATAATCAAAAGATAAAATATTAAAATAAATTTAATATATTTATATTTTTTTAGCGTGCACAAGAAACACTTATTAGATCTGCAGTACGTCAATCCGAAGAAAGTCACATAGAACGTGCTATGCTTGATGATAAGATAGCTGCTACTGATTGGGAAGCAACACAAGATGAATTAATACAACAAGTAGCAAGAGAATCCTATTTACAATGGTTGTCTGATACGAAACAACAACATAAAGATAATAAAACGGTTCGTTATTGAATAAATATTGATTATATGGTTGTCCTAGATTTTCTATAAGGTCATAGTATTATTAAGGCTGGTAGAAGCTGTTTATAGGACGTCCTTCAATCATATATAGAGCATTCAAAGGAGTGCATATTTTACTATGAATACAACATAAAATATTGTATTTTAATTTAAACAGACATCGTTCTTTTTGTACTAACTAAGGTCATACATTTATTCATGAGAGCATTTTGTTGTTTTTTAGATGCCATCTTCAAGTTCATCACCAACATCTACGACAACATCTGAGAGAGCTTTACACAATAATCACGGTAAAATAAAATATTTTAAAGATAAAATAAAATTTTTCTTTTTATAGCAAGCTCACCGAAAAATCTATTACCATTAAGACTTGATGAACGAAAAGATTGTGAATTTGCCTTACCATTTAATTATGAATGTGATGCTTCATCAAATCCTGGTATATTTCAAAGCTAAACTCATATATATATATATTTATAATTTTTTGTAGATCTTGATGATGATGATTCATATTTACGACAAGTTCTTGCCATATCACAAATTGAATATGTTGAAACATTAAAAAAACAACAACAACCTCCGAAATCCGACGATCCAGATGGACCATCATCATCATCAGACACACATCTTTTGTAGAAAGTTTTTTTTTTTTTGTTAATTTATATTCTTTTCTTTCTATCCTACTGATATTTTCCTTACAAAAAAGAACTACAGAACATAGCATCCGAACAGGCAATGTGTGTTATACACGTTTAAAAGCAAAACTTTTGTTCCTCTTACGTTTACGTCAATTATATCTGTGCGTGTGTGTGTGTGCGCGTGTGTATATGTTTGGAATTAAACGAGAGTCATATTTCGGATATATCTCTCGATTTTATTTCAGATAATAATGTTCAATCAAGAAATAAAAAATTCTAAACGAAAATTTAAATCAGATAATGATGACGAATGGTCTACACTAACACGTGAACAACTTATTGAACGTTGTAAACAACTTGATAAACATGTTCAACAATTAAGAAATACAATTCATAAAACAACTGAAAAAGAATCTCTTGAGAAAAATAATAAAAAAGCGAGACCATTTGATTTTAGTAAACATTCAAAGAGACATATTTTTCTTAAATTTATTTATCTTGGTTGGGATTATCATGTAAGAAATTGAGCAAATATGATAGAAGTATTTTTATTATCGTACGTAGGGATTTGTTGTACAAGAAACAACATCTCAAACAGTAGAAGATTTTCTATTTGAGGCACTCATTAAAACACGATTGATTGAACAACGAGCAACATCGAATTATCATCGATGTGGACGAACAGATAGAGGTAAGTAAAAACAGATAATTTCTCATGAGTAAAGTATCTATTTCCAGGTGTTAGTGCATTCACCCAAGTGATCTCATTAACTGTTCGATCGAAAATTACTTCAGAATGGTATAATAAGATTATTTTTGTTTAATTATAAAATAATCATTTTATTTTAGTACTGAAGAACTCAATTATGTACAAATGTTAAATGGTGTTTTACCAAGTTCAATACGGTGTATAGCATGGGCTTCAGTACCAGAAGAAAAATCAGCTCGATTTGATTGTAAATCACGATCATATCGATATTATTTTCCAAAGGCAAATCTTGATCTTGATCGAATGCGACAAGCATCTGTGGATCTTATTGGTACACATGATTTTCGAAATTTCTGTAAAATAGATATTACGAATGAAGAACCAACATTTATTCGACGTATTGATAATATAACTGTTGAACAATTAAATTATGATAATGATTTGAATAGTAATAATCCTGGGTAAAACTTTTCCTTTTTTTCGAATAAAACAAGACGAATTATTTTTGTAATATAGTTATCAAATGTGTGAATTAATGGTGCATGGCTCAGGATTTTTATGGCATCAAATTCGTTGTGTTGTTGCTATTTTATTATCGATTGGTCAAGGAAAAGAAGAGATAAGTTTAATTAAAGCATTACTTGATATTGAAAAATATCCATGTACACCAAATTATCAAATAGCATCAGGTATATTTTTTCGTCATATTTTTCGAAAGAAAATTTATTTATTTACTTTTTAGAATTACCTCTTGTTTTATTTGATTGTCAATTTAATGATGTGAATTGGATCTGTGATCAAAATGCTCTTCGTATAACTATCTGTCATTTACAACGACATTGGTCATCATTTCAAATTCGTGCTACTTTGATTAAATCAATGTTAAATAATTTAGAAAGTCAAATACTTGATCAACAACAATTACCAATTTTAGGTCAACTGTCATTGATCGAGAATGATACGAATTCATTGATAGGAAATAATAATAATAGTCGAAGAAATTATCAACCTATATTAACACGACCAGTACGAGAAAGTGTTGAAGTTAAACTTGAAAAATTTCAAAATAAAAAAGCGAAATTAGGAATAACATCCGAAGATCCTAAAGATGGTGATACAAAAAATTCCAGTACTACTTTACTTATTTAAATTTTTTTAAATATATTTGTTAAAGAATTTGTTATTATTTAATTGAAAAAGAAGAAGAAGAAAAAATGATATGCACAAACAAGGTCAGCATGGAAAAATTATGAATTACTACTAAAAGAGATAAGATTATCATGTCGACAATACAAAAGAACAAGGACCAGTCCTTGTAAATATTGAGTGTATGCATGCAAAATCCTTTCTTAGTAATATTTATGTCAAGCATTGTTGAAACTAATATACAATATTCTGTAGACATTTCACAAGGTTAAAAGCGTCAATATCATTTTCATAAGTAACATGATGGATGACACTTATATAATGGAACTATTAAATTTTAAACTTGACTATGACTGCCACTAGCGATATCTCCATTTTCTTCGAATAATTGCTCAGAACTCTAAAAACAAAAAGAACTGCTATTACACAAAAAAACTCACACTCAATATCTTACTTGATATTGTTCCTGTGTCGGGGATTTACATAGAAGTTGTGCTGAAGCTCCTTCATTTAAATCAACACCAGCAATACTTTAAAAATAAAAACAATAAACTATCGAATTAAATTTTATTGACTAACCTTAATCTCATATTTCGTTTCATAACATCAAAAACATTATGCTAAAATAAAAAAAAAGATTTTCTATTCGTTAAAAATTTTATTTAAATACTCGTGTTTGTTTTGCTTCTTGATTTGCTTTAATTAAAAATTCTACTACAGCAAGTACAATAGCCAAAGTTAAACCAACAATTAATATATAGAATATACCAGCAACATTAACTAAATTAAGTGCATTACTCTGTTTAGAATCCTTAGTTGTACCACTATGACATTCGGATCGTTCATACCACCATCTTCGTTTTAAATTATTTAATGCACCATCTTCACTCATTTCAAGTATAGCTATATTAATTGCTTCTCTAAATAAAATAATAGAAAAAATATTTAATCATTATTTTTTATTACCGTAATTCTGAACCAACTGGTGTTGCAACTCCATAACCTTTGGAATCTAAATTTGAACCAATTTTCATTGTATCACAAGGAGAACGTTCATTTGTATATTCATTTTTAGTTGACTATTTTTCGTATTTAAATAGATATTTTTTATTTATTTTTTCAAACTTACTTCAAGTAAAAATGCATATTTTCCTTTCGATTTTCTATATATTAACAATTAAGATACTTATTGAACAGAGCAGAAAACTTACCGAACTTTATTGATACCTTCTTCATTATTAGGAACAAAAACATCATCACCTTGTTGCATATATGTCCACATACGTTGAAAAAGTTTTACATCCGATTTCTAAAAGAAAAATAAAATCAAGAAATCAAATTTAATAAATAATTACTTCAAAAAATGTTTGTGTTGATCCACCACGAACAATACCATATCTTATTTCTGTTTGTCTAGCAAGATCTTCTACACTTTCAATTGGTGTAACCATACGTTCCACAGTTAAAAAAGCAGCTACAAAAAAAAATTGTCATATAGGTATCTCTATCTCCATATATAATTACCCAAATTAGCAGTATATGATGATACAAGAATCATTGAAAAATACCACCATACACCTGCAACTAATCGACCTGATATTGATCTAGAAGAGAAAATAATTTTCGAAATAAAATTTTTTTTGTATTACCTTGGTATAAAATCTACACCTTGTTGCATAAAAGCTGCTAAGGCAAAGAAGAGTGTATTTAAAATTGAAAATTTATTTGATAATTGAAATGTTTCTTCATCTTCCATACTCCATTCATAGGGTGAAAAACGTGAAACAAGAAATAGTATGACACTAACACCAATATATGCAAATGTAACACACATCCAAATTTCTTTTGATAATGGTGCCATAAATGAAAATACACCTGGCTTAGTTTTTTCTGGTTTACTAATTAAAATACTGATTCCAAGATTCATCCATGGTTTACTAAAATCAACAACACTTTCTCGTTGACTTGTTATTGTTAATGGTGCAATAGCAAGATCAACTTCATGTCGTACTAATTCTCCAATCATTCCAGTCCATGGTTGATCATTTGGTGGTTTATTACCAAATGAATTATCTTTTACAATACGAAATTTACATGGAATTTCAAGTTTTTCTTCACATATTAACCGAGCTAAATCAACACAATAACCATATAATTGATCAAAGGTATAATATTGACCAGCTGCATCTGCTGCACTAACATTTCCAATAACACTTAAATTTAACATTGTAAATGGTTCGTCCTAGAACGAAAGAAACAAATGAAAAAAGTCTTCTCTTCATTAATAAACATACAAGAATTGTTGAAATTATACGTTCTTTTGCTTTATCAAAATCATGTGCTTGACGGCCTTCAAATATTCTAAGATCATCAAAATGAAAATCATCATGTGTAAAATTGCCCATCTAAAATCATAATGAAAATATATTTTTTTCTCTAATAATTAATTACATTTCTTGGTAATTTATTCATTGTAACTTGATAAACATTTAAAGTATAATTAATACGTTCACCATATTCATTAAATGCTACATGGCCGGAATATCCATCAAATGAAAGCTATAAAAGAACAAAAATCTCAATTTATTTATTTTATCTTATTTAAAATTTACGGATTGCATTATAGAAAATAACTTTTCACCAAATGGTTCATGTGATCGTTGTCTTCCTTTCGCTCGACATTCGATTTTTAAATGATCAAAATTATCATCCGTCGAATCAGAATCAACAATTTTAGCACGAGTTCGTTCATCTAAAAACATTATTGCTTGCATGTATAAATATAAAGCATCTGCTAATGTTTTCTTTTCGAACTATTTAAAAATAAAAAATGAAATATTAGATTGAAAAAATAAGATAAGAATTTTACCGATGGTAAACTCAATCGATCAGTTATCGATGAATTCACTGATGAATTCATTTTAAAAGCTGATTTTGGTAAAAAATATGTTACATTAACACCACCATATCGAAAAGCACGCATATCGATTCGATCAGCTTCCTAAAAGATATAATTCGAAATAATCATTTTTTATTTTAATTATACTTACAAGTGTCATTAGAATATAATGATAATGTGGTGTTGTCATTCCTTGATGTCGAATCTAGGACAAACATTACTGATTAAGATTCCATCAACAAAGTCAATATTTTCTCTTATGGTAATCGTATAGAATACATATTTATCTTACTTGCATCAATAATTTAATATAACTTTGAATATCAATCAAATCAAGTACAATATAACGTTCTTCTTTTGTACCACGATCATTTATTTCTACACTTTGTAATAAATTTTTTGTATGATTAGAATTTGTATTATCAATTAATTGACGACCTTGAATATCTAAAATATCATAACTTTTTTCTCGTGCTTGTGCAACCATCATTGCTTGATAACGTTCAAATGCTTCATCACCTTCGATAATATAAAATAATTTTGTTACTTTATAACGTCTTATAAATGCTGCTAACGCAGGTAGAAGATCAATTTTCATTGTTAAATGATAGAATTTATTTATTAAACTTGATTCTTGTTTATTATAATTGAAATAATTTAATGATATCATTGATATATGTAAACGTTTCATAAATAATTCAAGTAAACGAGTTTTAGGATTATCAATATTTGATATTGTACCAATTGCACCGGATTCTAATCGATTACAAACTAAAATTTAAACAAGAAAAGATTTATTTTAATTCAAATTTTTTCTTTGTACTTCGATGAACACTTGAATAAATATTAACATCCTAAAAAAGGAAAAAAATCATATATATTGTTATTTAAAATATTTACATTAACATTTTCATGAAGTGATTGAAAAGAATATTGATCTATTGGCCATGAAAATGAATCAGTTAAATTCATCGCTGCTGTTAAAGCTTCAGAAAATGTATTTATTTCTACATTATTCATTGATTTTTTATCAACAAACCATCCTATGAATATATATCATTATTATGATTAATTGAAATTATTAATACATACCAATTGGAATACTACTTTGACTTTGAACAGAAAAAATTAGAAAAAAATAAATCGTATTTTTAATCATATTGTTAAATCTTATGTTCAACCGGAAAGGAAAAGAAAAAGAAAATGATGAGAGTAGATAGCTTTCATGTTGTTGTTATGTCTATATGTATGAGAATATATATATATATTCCATGTCTGAATGATTTTATTATCAAGAGATTTAATAATGACAATAGGGAGAAAGAAGATAAGATGAGATGGACCGGAAAAAGAATTAGTACGTACGATAGTGAACGACGAAGATGCCAGTGTTCTAATCGATTGATCGATCGCTTGAAAGCATGATGAAACGTTATTAATGAATAGAAAAAGAATATTCTTGACTTAGAACAATAGTAATAAACATGATGTCGTTTTAACAGATTGATGTCATAGATATATATGTATATTTTATTCTGACAGCATACAATCTTGTTTCATTTTTGTATAAAATATCTATTAATAAAGAGCTACGTGTTTAATACAAAATACAATTTCTATTTGATTAACTAAATTCAATTATTGTTTAAATATTTAAGTGAAAACTGTGCACGTATTGTTACATGAATTATTAATTTCGTCCTTTAATGCTATTTCATAACTTGGCTAATAAAACGGATGTCATGTTAATTTAATTGTATTGATCGTCGTCTTATTTATGAAAAGATAGTAAACGGTACAAGAATCTTCGAAGGATAGAATTCAGATCTTTTTTTTTTTGATAACGGTGTTAGTATAAGTAAAGTATTAATAATATATAAATGCGATTAACATTGAATTATTAAAAGCGGATTTTAATTTTACAAGTAAATTCTTTTAATCTGATTTATTCTTTGTATTATATTCATGCATCTGGAAATGTTTTTCAATGAATCATCATAAAACTTTCAAATAGTTGTAGACAAATTGTATATCATAGTAAACAAGCTGTTCTTTTTTTCTCTTGTAAGCAAGTAACAGAGCAATTCAATACTATTGAAGTAGTTGACCAGTTTTGATACTTGGTATACAGAAGCCATTGACTTTAGGTTCGATTTAATAGAGAGTCGATAGGGGTTTTAGTGTATATTCTCACAATCCTCACTCATACTAGTTTTACTGATTTTTAGATAAAAATAAATGAAATTTGTTTTAACTATTTATTATTACTAATAAATATAAAATCCTTTCCATTTTATTACTAAACTACATTTTTTTCACGATCATCTTGAGAGTGTGGGATGATACAGCACATCTATCCTCAAAACCTGCTTTTTAATAATTCTCCTTGTGGAAATTTATCATGACCTGCGACTGGCTCACATGCTTTCGAAAGAATTCTAGAGACAATAACATAAGTTGTTCAGAAGATATTTATTGACTCTAATAGTACATCTCCGCGTGCATCAACAATGACTCACTACAGTCGTGAATAAATATGTCTAATGATTTCAACAGAGCACAGTAATTCGACATAAGAATTATTCCATTTCGTTGTTGAGCTAGACAATAATTGTCTATTTTCTTTAAAGACGATCTGTGATTACATATAAACCTTATAAGAGCATGCTTTAAATAGATTGCATTTTGCTTCGTTTTGAGTAGTGTATTGTAGTCAGTGTTGAGCATATCCTGAACTGCTTGACGGAGTCTCTTCACGTCCTCGAAGCTGTTGTCGTTCACATCTATTATTCGAGATAAGTGGCGAAAATCACCAATACTGACATATCTTTGCCTTCGCTCCACAATGTGGATTGTAGACCCGTCTTTGATATTATAATCGCTTAACGTACCGCCATCTTTCAATTGTCGTCCATTGCATATCGGCCGCTGATGATTCTCTTCGATACACCAAATATCGAAAATAATTACTTTTAAGTGCATTATAGCTAAATTACATGGAACAGAAGGAGTCATTATCTCACCATCTAATGAAACAATTTTCAATTTTATATAACTTTATTGAGAGTCATGAATATTTTCAGACAGAGAAGATAGTACATTTGGTATATCCATGTTTCTCAGAATGATTATCATAAAGAATTCATCTGGAATGTTGTACGCAGCCAATGTCATATTTTCCTCCAAAGTATTCCCTTTGTGAATGAGCTCACCTCTTTTTGAATGATAATTCCATCCAATCGACGTACAAACGCATCTTATAAAAGTTTGAACTGTAATGTCCCTGCTCGTTTTATAGGCTACTTTTTCAGATTTGCTATTTCGTAAGTCAATACATTTAATAGTTCCAATAATCAAAGATGTTGGTTCACTTGAAACGACCGATATTGCGTCTTGATGCATTATTAGTATTTTCTCGAACATGTTCAACGATCTTTCTAATTGTCGAATATAGTGATGAAGTGCTTTTCTATTGTTCTGACGAGCCCCATACAATTGACCCAGCTCATAACTCGATACCGGTAAAATGCTCAAGTTACCATAATAGAAGCATGTGGAATAATCATATACAGACACTGAAAGATTTTGTAATAATAGTTTGATTCGATTACATTCTGCACAATCAAATGCATACTCGTCGTTATCAAAAACATGTTTTCGAAGACACTTCGAACAAAACTCCTCAGCGCACATATGGTACTCAGAAAGAACCATATTGAGCACATTGATATCCTCTTTAGTACAATCATGCACGACTCCTGCAAGTTTGCGAGTGATTGTATCATAGCCCAAATTTAAGAGTGGATGTTTATCATTTGACACTTTTTCCAGAACTTCTAAACTCGCTCTATAATAACGCAATTGCTGGGTATAATCAAATCTGTCTTCGTATGCATCACCCAATTTAATGTAACCAGCCATGCGATTGCGGTGTTCTAAAGAAATTTCGTCGACCATCAGGTTAATATTCTGTAATGTTTCATTATTGGATACCGATTCGCTAAAAAAATCGATCAAGATTTCTCTAGATGTGCCATTCGTGCTATTTAAAGAATGATCTTCGATACGTTCTAGTCGAAGTTGAACATACCAGATCTCTTCAGTGGGCTTTTCTACCGATACAACTTCAAAGATAGCTCTGAATTTGAATAAATATTCGTGCTCCCCTTTGAATTTGCTTAGGTGCGCTATATTGCAATATGGCATCGCTGGATGCTTATCAGAAGATGGAAGATCAATTTGAAAGAAGACTGATTCATAAAATGGACGTTGTTGTCCTTCGCCACTGTAGAGCAAAGCTATTGACGATGATGAAGATGTCGATAAGAAGCCATTCATAGTGATTTTTTTACCGGTTTGTTTCTTGAGTTCTTCTAACTCGTCTTTTGGTAACAATTGTCCTCGATAAAGCGTTGTTACTCTTGCATCTTTTCCTTGCATCTGTTTCCAATGCAATTCACGAATTTGTTGATGAAGATCAACGATGAAAAAACGAAAGGCATGAATGACTTCGGTATTTCGTGTTCTCAGCGCCTTGTTCAAAAGGCGATACGCGAATGAGTCTTTAGTATACCAATGCAGTGCATCTTGTGAAGTGTAAGTTTTCTCAAATTCATCAATTTTGTACTGCTCCATTTTGTCCTTTCGATAGTAATAACGGCATTGCATAATCATGGCTTCTTTAGATAATGGATCAGTATGGCTGTTGTTGACAGTAGCTGCTAAAATGTCTTGCTGAGCTATAAACTCAGGATCTTCTACATTCTGTATTGATTTTTCTTGTATTGAAGCAGAACAGAACATACTCATAGGGTCGAATATTTTTGCGAATGAACGAACATCTTCTGTAATAGTAGCATACAGCTTATGCTTGTTTTCAAATGTTCCGCGAACTTTCTTTCGAGTTATCCCCGAATTAAAAGACGACTTGCAAAATATATATATGGAAACAATATGTGAAAGGTCGCAGATGCTGTCAATCATGCCAGAAGCAAATGAGCCAGACACAATAAAAAAGATATTTTGGTCTTCAGCGTGCTCACTCTTCATGTAGTTTAAGCACGCATTTTCGTTTGAAAACACTTCCAAGCGTTTAAAAATAGATCGAAGTTGGTTTTGAGTATCAAGACAATCAGCAGATGTATCGATTTTTGCATCTAACCATACAATGCTAAATTCTATATGATGTTCATTTGAGTTCGATTCATTGTTGTCTTGATCTTCGGGTAAGAAATCAAATAGACCGACGTCGAATAGTGGTCTGATTACGTCATCCATTAGACAGGTTCAAAATTGAATAACAAAACCAACCTAAAAATAAAAGAAACAATATGTTTTTATCGCCAACTTTACTTAACTGCGAAACAATTAGCGAAGCATGAGTGCTTTTCTCATCAAATCGAAGTGTGGGTGAGAATAATGGTGTGAATGAATAGCTTGACTGCAGCCCCATGCATCTACCCATATCCTAAAATATCTACTTAAAACCGTTAAATTATAGGAATAATCTATCTTCAATATGGTGGTTATAGGGCTACAGCTTGAATTTTCAATGAATCCAGTACTACTTAAGAATCTGAGGGTGGATGTGGTTGCGGATCTGTGTTCTTCATCTATATCCAGATCTACCCATAACTTTTATATCATTTGCAAAGCTCAAGTACTGCTCTTCTCAGAAAAGACACTCACTATAATATACTCATGAGGAGTAGTGACATTTGAATAACATTGTAGTAAGGTTCAACGCTTTACTTCAAATCCTCAAGATCAGCAATGAACACACTTCAGTCGGTAATTGTTAACCAAACTTTTATATAGATTTTGCATCAATTTAAACGGTAAAAAACTTCGCCTCCAGTTTCACTTTATTGAGACTCACTTATTATGCTATACTAGAGTAGTTTTGTCCTGATGTTGATGAAAATTGTGTCAAATTTTGCAAGCAAAAATGCTCGTATGGACGAATATTTATAAAAATAAAATAAACTGATTTTTTCCAACTAAGAGAGAATCAGGCACTGCTCTCAGTCGAACAACAAAAATAGATGGTGAAAGTCACCTTGTTGAAGGCTTCGTTGTGTGTGCTAATTCTGCGACCTATCAAGGGCAATAACGTTTACTGACTGACAATCGCTCGACTGCAAATACAAACAGAAAGAAAAATTCAAATGTTGTTCTCTTTTTGCGCATTTTATAATTGAAGAAGTGTACACTTTTTCTGTTCTATTCCATTTGAGAGAATACTAAAAATAACAAGTAACGCGTTGATTTTGAATTCTTTCGTAGCTCAAAGGTGTAAACCAAAATATAGAGAATAAATGCCTAGTGAAAAATTTCTAACCAGGGAACCAATTCAAGTGAAAAATCGCTTTTGACTTCGAGCTTAGTGCATAAGATAAACCTCAATAAGATACGAAAAACCCTAAAAGGGTAAGTGCTCATTGGCGTTCCTTCTCGAGTTATAGCCATTTTACTGAAATTTTAGCCTTTATCATGATATACACCTATAAATCGGATATCGGTATTTCGATCTCCAATTTTACCTTGAGGTAACCTTGCGTGCCAGTAGAAAGCCCTGCAGCTTTCAGCTCAACAGCAATTTTTATTTCTCAATACATTGAAGTTTCAAAAAATCACTCATATCCCAATAGAGGCGCCAAAAGGACGGGTGAGTATTCGTGCCTATCATCGCACAACCCAAACTCACACCCTTAAAATCATATATTCCATAATATAAATCAGAGCATAACGAATGCGATGCAGCTGTTAGTTTCATTTATTTATTTGTAAGGTTATTAGTAAGTGTAGCAAGATGATTTCAAGCATGTTAATGAAGATAATGAAAAGAATAAGATTGATCAAGTTCAAGTCCAAACGACGGTGGGAAGAAGACCTATGGAGTGAAAGTTACTTTTAATTTCGAAAAGATCAATATGAGATACCTTCACGAGTTCGAAGACTGGGCAGATAATTTTCTTCATTCAGAAAATAAATTGGATATTCAACAACTAGACCTTGAATATTTTTCAATTTCTCGTGAGCCTAATCGTAAACAAATATTTTAACAATCGAATCAGATGGATATGAAAACTTACTTGATTTGGATGAGTATCTTTGAGTTTGGGCTTGTCAGTATAATTGTACATCTGATCAAAACGTCGAACACAATTAGTAGGTAATACCCCAAAAGTTTCTTCGTAGATTAAGGTATTTTTATGCGCCACCTCTCGAAAATAATTATAAAATTGATCAGAAACGGGATCGGTTACATCGATTTTATTTTCGTTATGTCCCATAGTTCCAAGCATCATTCTATTCGTTTAAACAGAAATCAGTCAGATAAGATTTTCAAAAGAAAAAGCATACGAAAAGAGTCTTCGACGCCAACTAGAACAAAACTTTCCAACGCGAACCGATCGACCATTAAACAGACATTGTTCCTCTTCAATATCATTGATTACTACACAAAGTTCACTATCACGTTCACCCAATAGAGAACGATCATTGATATTTGCACTTCCACAAATTGCCATTCGATCATCCACAATCATCAATTTAGAATGAACAAAGATGATCTCTGTTGCCTATGATAATAAATTTATATATCGAGCGATATATTATCGGCACCGAAAAAAATCGTTTTTACTACATACCAAAACGCCCATTAGTATATCATATTGTCTTAGACCAAAAAAACTGATATAATCATTGGGTTGAATACCTGAAAAAGATTGGTACAATAAATTGATGATATTTATCACTGACCTGCTTTTTCAAGCCGTTTGAATAATGAATTATCTCCTTTGGCAATCGATCGCATAATAAAATAGAGAGACGCTTGAACGATATTGACATTATCGGAGCCAGGCAAAAGGGGAAGGACAATATAGATACGAAATTTTTCTCCCAATCTAATTCAAATTAAATGATCGATGTATCGGAAAAGGAAAAAATATATTTACCTGTGAGCACGTACAATCCGTTGATAGAGAGTCTCTGACACTGGATTCTGAATGAATGAATCATTTGCCACTGTCACGAAAAATTCATTCTTCATATCAAAAGAAATATTATTCTATGCCTTTTTTTTTCTCATCACTAGCAGACATACCTCAATAAATATAAAATGTTCGGCACCGTCGATCATTTGTATGTAAGCATTAAGAATCGACGTTTCGGTTGTTCTCGTACTTGCAGACCATGGACCAATTGAACGAACACACTATTTAATTAACTTAAAAATGAATATATTCAATGATATTTCCTTACTTGAGCGTTGATCTGGCATGGATGACCCTCAAGAAACTCTTTCCAATTATTTACAGTTAATTCTTCTTTATCATCGTATGTCCTCGGTAGAATGAATGAATATGATGAATCATTGTCAAATTTTTCGGTCTATATAAAAACAAAAGAAAATGAATAATCGATTTGAAAAAGAAAACACCTTGTGAATATTCCATCGTTGTATAAAATGCCTTGCAGCATCGCGTGCTACCTCACCGAATACTACAAGAGCTTCATCATGCCAGGGCGTACGTGGTAACATCTTTCGATCGATGAAATCTATCAGGAATTGTCAAATTAGAAAGAAAAAAGACTAGAATACCTTCACCAAATCTTTCAACGTTGTCAATTTGTCCTTCGTAAACATTCACATAATCTTTCCCAATGAAATATCTATTGCTCGTATCCATAGACTCTTCTCCAACTTGTTTGGTTTTTTCATCCAAGTCAACGAGACTAAAATGATCGATTTTTAAAAATTTCATAATGAAAAATGTTTACCGATGATATTCATTATCCCATCGACCGAAACATAAATCGATCCCACCGATAAATGCTATTTTTTGATCAATAATCAATGATTTCTCATTATGTGACCATAGTAATGTATTATTAATTCGATTATGATTGGGATGTCGGATTACCTTTAATCATTCGAATCGAATAAAAATTTAAATAAAGATCGATTTACTTTAATATTGCCAATTTTACTCTTATTGATTAATGCTTGCTTAGTATGAGAACTATTTCGAGAACTAACGAAAGACAATTCTTTGGATATCATCACATAAATGCGAACACCGTCATCCTTTTTTTGCATAATAAATCAATTAGATCAATGAACAGAACAAATAAAGAACTATACATACTGCTTTCTTTCCCAACAGATTATCTAAACGCATTGTCTCATCATCGTTTGGTCGTATCAGCATAATTTCTGGTGATAGCCACCAGTCAGTAATAAAGATTTCTTCTTTTGCTAATAGAATAGCTTTTGCAATCGATTCCATATAGCTTTTTCCATTGATAAACCTAATTTAATACAAGATCAAATCTCTCAAATTAATATGTTTAACTGGATTACCAATAACCTAATTGATTGTAACGAATTTGTGCGAATGAATGGAAACGAGTGTCATTTTTATTTTCAAAGCAAAAGGCCTTTTCTTGCAAAAGATTCAAAGATTCCATCCATTGTTCATAATCATGACGATTTTCACATTTTATTGTTAATGTCTCTTGTAGATTTCTAATCTGAATCTCAGAATTCGTCATGGCAGTATTATGATGATTACTCAACACAGTGAAACCATGATCAACCAACATTGGAAAAGCTAGTTGATCAGTATCTCGATGCATGTAAGTAATAAAACTATCTTTGACAACTAACCATCTGTATCAATAAAAATACTAATCTTTTGTAGTACATAACGCATTAATACATACTTTTGTTCATTGTGAAATAAATTCGAGTTATAGGTGAATGGTAGTCGAGAAAAAAAATTGTTATTTCTGGATTTTTTAGAGAAATAACCTTCCTTTAAGCTGGTGGACATTCCTCGGACAAATGAAAGACGACTGACGTTGAAAAATTCATACTGAAATTAAAATATAGAATTTGATAAGCGTTTTTCAGCATAGCATTCAAAAAACACTTGCCGTTGCTGGATGAGTACGACATTTCGAATTTCTAACAACATTATTCAGATAATCACTAAATAATTGCTAAATACCAAAGATAAGATTCTTTCAAACAGATCTAAAACTTCTCTTCGATATATTTACACAAAATTGAGGATCATTGTTGCCTTCGTCATCTATTAATTTATCTTTAGATATGGGTAGACTTGGCCATGCACTGCTTTCATCTGCCTCTCTAGTGCTTCTCTTGTCTTTAGCAAGTTTTGTAAGTGCATTGTTTAAAATAATAAAATGTTGATAGAGTTTACAGATCTTCCATTGAAAAGGACCATGTTGAATGGTAATTCGATATCTGTATGAAAGACAATAGATTATCTCATTTGCCAATATGCAAAAACTCACTGAGAAAGATTATCAAAGTCAGTAGAAATAGTGTTGCATTGTTCGGCAACTATTAATATGATATCAATTGGAACATTTGGAACGAATTTCTCGTCATTTTGATCATAGATGTGTGAAAGAGAAAACATGGTCACTGTCAAAGATCAATCAAACAATCTTTAATAAGAATAGTGCAGTAATACTTACTATCATATAATGTGAAAGAATGTTCGAATAGAAGAAAAATGAATAAATACAATAACAAATAAGTAACATGTGCACAGCACTTGCTTTTTTCTTTTGTTTATTGTAGCGATCATTGATGAAAAATGAATGCTTTTACGCATTGAAGTGTATATTTTCAATCGTTCTGTTGTCTCATAAGAAAAGTTTCACATGTTAAAATGTGTGTTTTTTATGTATAGGGATGGGTGTGGGTGGAAGATATATAGTCATTCACACCCTCAAGATGCTTTATTTATTTTAATGTCTCGTAAATAGAAATTGACTGATAATATATATAAAATAATACACAATTTAACAATATTTATAATTATGTGTCTTATTTATCAAGTTATCTTAGTCCTCGCAATCTTCGCCACATCCACCTCCATCTCCTTCTCCATCACCACCACAGCCGCCTCCACCAGCACAAATAGAATCCCATCCACTCCCAACTGCTGCACATGAACTGACATATAGTGATGCTTCGATATTTTTTCGATCAATATTATGGTCATAATCTGTATTGTATGCCTGTTTCCATCGCTCAGCCGTTTTCTGATAACTACTTGATAGGATATTTTGTTCGATTGCATCATCATGATCGAGAACAAATCCACATAAAGCTTTTGAAACTGTACGATAATGTACTGGACGTCTCATATGTGAATGCCAAATTATATCAATGTCAAATGTTGGTACAATCATTTCATTTTCTCGTGCTAATTTGAGAAACAAAACATAATTTTGTACTAACTGTTCGAAATATGAAAGATCTTGTTGTTTAAAACTTCGTTCAGATAGATCATGTTTTTGAAAGTTTTGTAGAAAATCCCGTTGACGAATAACAGCTTGTGTTAAATCAATGGATGGTACAAACGATGAGTCATTTTTTATTGATGTAAAAACTGTTTTTGAATCATGTTTTTTGTAACGCTTTTCTATTAAATTGTACGCTAATTTATCAACAAGATTTCCACCTTGTAGTTGTTTTGTACAATCATTGAAATAAGCTATTGGATGCAGACGATGCACGTGCCAAATCCATTCAGTTTGCCATGGAAGTTTTAATTGTTGTTTTTTACTTATCATTTCCTGTTGTGCCATCCGTTTACAATAATCTTGAATAAAATAATCTAATTCAACTCCTTGTTCTGTCATTTCTGGATGTGAAATAACTTTTCGAAGTAACAAAACATGATCAACCAAATCGGCATATGATATTCTAAATGTTATTCCATCTTTTATTTGAATTGTTGCCTCAAAATTTGAGAATGAAGATGGCGAACTACCCATTTGTTGTTACTTATTTTGTTCTGAAAGGTAACTGAATCTGTTTTATAAGCAAATCTGAGTGAAAATATCTTCTTACATATAAAATATCATCTACCTTTTGTATAAATACAATAGATTCAAAGAACGAGAAAAAAAATGATGAATAATGTTAAAGAACGGAAGTAAAAAAGACTAATGTGCTATCAAATATCAGGATAAAAGAAATAGAGAAGAAAACTAAAAGATATGAGCATTCGTCGGCTCTATTTGTTTCATAGTATATATCCTATGCTAATAGAAATATGAATTTTAGCTCGTTCCAATATGGAAACAAACTCATTTTATCTATTGACTGTGTATATTCATATATAAAAAAAGAGTCAAAATAGCAAAATAATGTTGGAAAGAAAATCTATTCCATACATATCGATGAAGGCAACTATGAATAATTTTCATCCTCAAGATTGCAAGAGAAAAAGAATATAGACGTAATATATATGTACACAAACGCTATATTTCTCATCATATGTCAATATTTGTTCAAGACGGAAGTATTTTTTGAATAAACATTCGTTTTTACATAATGACTGAAAAAAGTGTAATGAATCATCGTACGAAGAAATTTCGAAATAAATAAAATAATATATGCGATTTCTATAATCACTATAAGTCACAATGCTGAAACTTTATTTTTCGGATGGATGTGAGTGCGTATTTAAAACAGAGATAATCGCACAAATAAAGACAGTTTTAAAGATAAGATTTAGATTTTATTTATAAAAAAGAAAAAAATAAGTTATATTATTTCATTCGTAAGAAAATAGTATCATATGTACGTTTAATTGTATAATTAAAAAGAAGACTTTTAGAATCGATTATATTTTGTATTCTTTCTATCATATAATCATCTGCTGTTGGAATAGAAATCGCTAATAAATGAAGATTAGAATCTGTTTTATTATTAATTTTCATTAAAATAATTTGTAAAAATAAGTTAATATCAATATCACTTGTACAACCAATTTGAAGATATTTTAGTTCAGGAAATAGATCAATAAGAAAAAGAACATCATCAAATGTATTCATTTTTTCAAGATAAACTTTTGTAATTTCATTATTATCTACTATAAAATTAATCTCTTCGCGTTCCTCAATCGATAATAATGTTGTAGTTGGTAATGTTATTGACGATAGTTTTAATGAATCAAGATCAGGTAAGAGATTTATAATTTCGATTATAGCACCAATAAAAAAATCTTCTTCACAAATTTCTAAATGATAAATTGTTGCTACATCTAGAATCCATTCGATTTCATCCAATAATACCTGTCGATATTTATCTATAGGATTATATCGAACAGTAAGTAAAGTTGAATGATAAACATTAAAATTATCGTTGTCAATATTAATAAATTCATACCATTTTTTTCTAAAAGAAACAATCCGATGATATATTTTCGTAAGAATAAAATTTTGTTTGTAAAATAATTTATCAACATACCTATATGGTTTAATAATAATAGAAATAGTGTCATGTTTAATAGCAACTTCGATAAACCATTGTCGTTTTATCCAAAATGAAGAAATAAATTGATCACATACACAACCAAGAAAGATAAAGTCATCTTCTTCCTGTGGAACTACATTATAATGGAAATAAAACTTTTCTAATTGAGGAAAATTTTGTAGAATTAATTCTTCCCACATATCAAAATCAAGGTATTGTAATTGTAAGTCTCCTCCACAAACATATAAATTGAAACTTTTAAGAGTACAAGGTAATTTCCTTAGAAATATTTCGTATTCATCAAACTCTAAAAATACTATACTCATTGATATATCTGTTAATTTAGATAAATCCATTGATGAAATTATTTCAATTGTTTGATCATCTTCATCATCATGTAAATATAGCAGCAAGATCGTTGAATGTAACGCCATGTTCAATAACAAGATGTTCAATCATACTCAATTGTTGATTCTCCATAGCAAATGGTAATGTGGCAGAACTCTTGAATTCAAGAGATGTTATTTTAAGATATTTTAATACTGGTAAATTAAAAATTAATAAATAAGTTTGACATAGATCTATTAATTGATGATATGACTTAATATCTAATGAAATAAGACGTGGTAAATGAATACAATTGTTGAGAAGTACTGAAAGTGTATTTGCTTGAATGTTTTGAAGATAAATTGATTGAAGACGATCAAGTGATGAATCTATGTTAAATGATGATAGAAATTTGTCAATATATAATTCAGATGACGAATTAAGTGAAATAATCTGATGTGGATTAATATATTTCATATGTTGATAATTATTCATAAATAAATCATCAGATGTAAAATGAAATGTAATTTTATATAAAAGTATTGAAGAATTAAGAAGTTGATAAAAACGATAATTAAGATTTGAAAATATTCTATAGATATCACAACCATCGAGATAATCAAATATTTCATAGAAAATTTCATTAGAGAAATTCTCAATAAAATTTATCATTGCCATTGTTGTTAACTAAAAATATAAGTTATCTCATATATCTTTGATCAGAAAATTGATAAATAAATAATTCGTTTTTCTCTGTTAACAAAATCGAATAGTAAACATACTTTTCTTTTCCGTTCGCCGTCTAGTCGGCGACGATGATCGCGAGGATGTTTATATTTTCGTCCGAAAAGAACATGATATGTATTTTAACGTTATTAACAGAAAGAGAATCTATTCAAATCAAAATTTCTGCATAGTTAGTATTCTCTTCGTAATTGTAGAGATTTCGTTTCAATATGGATGTCGTTATTGTAATTGAACGAGATTGGATCATTTTCAATACATCGAAATAAACTCTTTAATAAGATGTTTTTTTCTTTTTCGATACTTAGAGTATGAAAAACCACAGATATGTAAAATATTCTACGGGAAAGTGTTAATTATAATGCTGCTTTTTACGTACGAACATTTTTTATTCGTTTATGTTCTAAAGTTGTGTTTGTGTAATTATGAGAAGCTGTTTGATGCGTTATGTTTTTAGTTATTCGTACAAATTTTATAATATTTAATAGAAATATTCGTTAATGTAAAAATCATCCTTCCAGGGCATGGATAGTGATTAGATACAATACCAACGGTCATACTCACACCGAGACGTACACTCTCATAATAATGACGTAGTTGAGTTTGATACTATTGTTTCAGACACCATACGTTATATTAGAATTCGCATCCACATTCACATTCCTGTGTTATGTTTTGAATATAGTTGTAAATAATACATTTGTACTTCATACCCAGCTACGCTTACACGATAGTAGATGGTCATAAAACAACGAAACTTTGACTATACTTTAATGGCAAATATTAAAGAAAAATCTCTAAATTTTACTTCAAACGGCATGCATAAGAGAATTGTTTTCTTCTATCATTCGCTGCTGACATTAAATGTTCGAGAAAAAGAGAAGAAAAAAATATTTAATGCATTACTACCGAAAGCATCAGTCGCCTTAGTGTCCTATAATTGAGAATGTGGGTGTGTGACTAGATTCATATTTTCTTCACCCACACCCACGTAATAGTAATAATTAAAAGTTGAAGACACATTATATGCAATATATTCAACAATGCGTTTTATACAGAAGGAAATAAATAGTCATAAAAAATACACCAATGTCAAGAAACTTTTGTTTTCTGCTCGTGAAAATGGTTTTTTTATTTTTACAATTGATTAATACAAAGAGTACCATCACTCCGAAGATAAAATATCTCAGTAGGCAGTGATCGTTCATTACTATGAATAGCATACCAATGAACGGAAGGTATCTAAAAGTTATAGGACATAGAAAGAAGAATATAATTATAATAAGACGAAAAGAAACATACCCTTTCACTTTACCGATAATATCCTTATTTTCAAGCCACAATTGTCCTTCCGCATAAAGACCACGATCATCAACTTGATTGACGTCATGTTTCGTCAAAAACTTAATATAACCGTCACTTCTAGGAGACGAAATGATTGATGTTTTAATAGATAAAAAACAGATCGAGTCACTTTTCATGCAAACGAATCACTCGATGAATAATGGGAATATCACGACCTTTGACTTGAAACACAACAATATCTCCTACACGAACAGGTTCTGAATGATAGTTAGTCAACAGAAGAAGATCACCACGTTGGTTAAAAGCTGGTCCATTAGCGCCACTAATCAACAATATATTATTTCGATTTTGAATCGATAAGTGAACATAACAAACCTTAACGTGATTACAATAGGATTCGTACTGTTAGTTAACACCATCAGACTTTTCCAAGTCATGATAACTGTTGAACTAATCAACAAGCATCGTAAAACTTGCTTGATACTCTATATATGAAGACAAATAACAATGCAATATAATCTTATTAACAGACTATATTGAAAATCAATTACCTCACCACATTGGTTCATTTTCTTGCCTCACAAATTTCTAAATAGTGGCACAGTTGAGAAAAATGAATGCACACATTCGAATAATATCAACATACAATAAAGAATACTTACTATATATACAGTATCCGCGAACATGCTCCTGCAATAAGGCTAGAAAATGCTAATTGCATATTGATCATGTCAAATATTGAATGGTCCATAGAGAAAAACCAATCTAGCTTTGCCCGATATTTTTCATCAATCAGCAAGACTGTATAGATGTCACTCAAAATAAGCAATAAATCATTTGGACTTTGTTAAAAAAATAAATATCATATATTATTTTTAAGATATTATTCATCGGATTAAATATTCTCTTCTACAGTGTGCTATAATTTCTAGTCATAGTGCCCTTCACAATTACATATATATACACTTTTTTCATGTTTTGTGTTGAATTTTTAAATTTTTCTAAAACAAGTAAGTACGTATTTATATCATCAGTGTATAAAGTTATTAGTGATTTTTCGTACTCTACTAGTATGAAGTGCATTATCAAGTAAACTATCGTGGAACTTCATTATTCTTGCTTTTTCTGGATAATATTTCTACTGATTATCATGAGATAATAAGACTTCCAAATCCTGCACTGAATTTGTCAATATCCATATCCATCTACACACTCGTGTCAAAAACTTTTATTTTCCAAGCACAACAATGATGATATTCAAAGAAATTAGCTCGGTACGATGATAATTGCAAAAGTTATGGTACAAATACACATAGACCATCATTTATTCAATCGCATCTGTTATCTGTTCTAATTATTTCTTAATGAAAATAGTCATTTGATATTTTTTTGTAAATTTTTATTCAATCGATAGATTAATTAGCTTTCAGTGGAAAACCAAGAGGATGTTTTTATGAAAGAGAATTTTAATAGATATTTAAATTAATTTATAATGTGCTTACAGTCTTTTCTTTTTCCATACTTTTTGACTCGCTTCATACTATAAAGTAATTCAAAGTTAGTATAATGTCATCATCATCAACAATTGGCGATATTCTAAATACTGTTAGACAATATAGCGTCTATGTAAATTATCTCGCAATCACTGGTGGAATTTTTGGTCATATTCTGAATCTTTTAGTTTTTACTCAATTGAAACGTTTTCGTAACAATCGATATGCTCTTTATATTATTATTGAATCAATTATAGCACTTATTTTTCTTTTTATTTCCACAACGAATGTATTATTACGAATAGCATATGGATATGATCTTAGTGATAGCAACTTAAGTTGGTGTAGAATGAGATTCATATTTTATCAAGGTCTATCACTTATTTTATTTTTTACAATATGTTGTGCTGCTTGTGATCAATTCTGTTCGACAAGTTATCATTTTTCTATTAGACATTTGTGCACATTGAAACTACTTCAATATCTAATGTCTATTTCTAGTTGTCTTTGGTTTATTCATAGTATCGTATTTAGTCTTTTTCTTAATATTCAACCATTGTTTGGATGTATTATTACAAATCCAATATTAACTACATATTCAACATATTTCTTTTATCCATTTCTATATGGTCCTGTACAAATTGCTGTGGCATTTTTATTTAGTTTATTAGCTTTTCGAAATGTTCGTCGTATAATTCGTCGACAAATTCCCATTATTCGTCGTCGATTAGATCAGCAAATGACAGCAATGATTTTGACTCGTGTTTTATTTTTCATTATCTTATCATTACCATATACAATTTATCGTATTTATAGTATCAATAATCCTCCTCCGAAATCGAATCAGTTACAATACACAACTGGATTATTTCTTCAAACAAATCTTAATTATCTGTTTTCTTTAAATTATCAGGTATGTTGTACTTATTGTTAAATTTTAATAAAATAGAATGAATGTTTTTTTAGAGTAGTTTCTATATATTTTTTGCAATATCATCACAATACCGTCGTCAAGTGAAATATATTTTAGTGAAAAGATGTTGGCAACGATAGAAAAATTGATATTGTATCCATCAAAATCAAGTTATTCCGATTAATATTGTTACGTTATATTACTTTGAATGCTTTCAATGTAAATGCATATTTCATTCATAATAAATTTTCTCTAAAAAGGAAGTAAAATTAATAAATATCCTACAGCAACATATTCTAAATAACGTGAAATTTAACCTCAGAATTTAGTTGTTACCAATGAATTCTGCTTGAATGAAAATGTACTCAACGCTGTTTTTTATTTCGATATGTGAGAACATTAGATTGGAATAAGAATAAGATTCAAATATTGATAAAAAATGTCTCTTCAGGAGAAGGAAATGAACTAATGTTAATTTTGATGACAAATAATACTAGAATAGCTTGTCATAGTGATTGTTCTGAGGCTTCCTGCAACTAAAAACACAAGGAATCCTTGCAGGATCTTTGCCAAATTCTCAAGGATATAGAACGAAAATACCAGCGACGTGCCATAGAAAATACGACTCATTCTTGAGGGTGTGAGTTAAGTGACGGAGAGTTCACTCACATCTGCACCCATATCTCACCCATTCCTCACAAACCCACATCACACCTTCAAAATATTCTTGTTTAAACAGTGTCGTTGTTCTTTCATCAAAATGTTTGCTTTCATCGAAAATCATTTTATGTATTTTTTTTTCGTCGAAAAATGAAAACAGAACAGCATAAATAATTCTGTTTCAATTCAGCAAACATTGCGTTATATTATTTCTTACATTACTCAGTGGCATAAAGAAAGCCATCTTGAGGGGGTGGGTATGGATACTGTACTTATCTAGCAGCCACACCCACACCCATCAGTTGTCAACACAACTTTGAACTCTCAAGTCAGACACGAATTATGAGATGAAAAAGCGAATATTCTATTTATTGAATGCACAAGAGAGAAAGAAAAAATCAACGTTAGCAGTTTTCATTACATTACAAAGACTACTATTTTTGTCTGCAATATACTATTTACAGACACATAACAATGTACAAAACCTATGTAAAGCAAGATTTTATATAATGAAAGAACAGCTCAACAACATTCATAAAACACTTTTTTCCATATAGGCCAAGTTCTACGCTCTGCTTTTTCTTCATCAATCAACTGTTGTACATTGAGCATACGTCTTCCAGTTTGAAGATCGATTGTACTAGGCCGCATGAAGGGTGTTTTCTTCCATATTTTCCATATGATATAAGAGATAATCAAAATTGGAGCAGCAAGATAGGCTTCGAAGAATGATTGCGCACTTACAGAACCGTGAATAGGGGATACAGCTATATAGAACTGAGCAATGAGACACAGAATGTTGAGTAGAAGACCACAACAGCTTCCAAGTATACCGAAGGGTGCTGTAAAAGCAAGTTCATCCAAAGTGTGACCTTGTGCTTTCCATGCTAATCGAAACATAATGTGACATGCGCATATAGAACCCCAAGTGAAAAAACTTGATAAACCAGAAAGAGCCAGTAGCCATTGGAACACTTGAGTACCGACTTTTGCACAATTGATATATGCAATAAGTCCGATAATTATCGATAGAGCAACGGCGGAGAGCGGACGTCCTTTACGATCGATATAAGTGAATAGTTTCGGAGCTTGATTATTCTCAGCAAGTGCACAAAGTGTTCGAGATGCTCCATAAACAGAAGAATTACCCACCGAAAGAACAGCACAAAGAATCACAGCATTGAATATCGAAGGTAACACTTTGATGCCTGCATCTTCAATGGCAATCACAAAAGGAGATGCGGACGCATCGTAGCTCGATGATCCAGACAGAAGCCGTGGCGATGTATAAGGTACCAAACAGCCAATCAATGCCAATGAGACAACATAGAAAATTGTAATTCTCCAAAAGACTTGTTTCGTTGCTCGAGGAATCGTCTTTCGTGGATTATCCGTTTCTGCAGCTACCAATCCGACCATTTCTGTGCCTCCAAAAGCGAAAGCAGCAGTGACAAAAACGGAGCATACACCTTTGAATCCATTGGCAAATGAGCCTGGATCATTCCAATATTTACCTCCTATATATTGATGATTTGGACCACCTCCGAATACTAGAACAATACCAAGAATGATGAAACCAAGAACAGCGATGACTTTGATAATGGACATAAAGAATTCAATTTCTCCATAGCCACGAACACCAAAAAGATTGATAACAAGAAGAAAAACAAGGAAAATAGTGATCCACACACCAACATTAATTGATGTTGTCCAGTAGTTAATGACTATTCCAGCAACTGTCAATTCAAGTGGTACAACAATCAATCGGTGCAAAGCATAATTCCATCCCATAGCAAAACCCCATGCAGGATCGAGAAAACGAGAACCATAAACGATGAACGAACCCGAAACAGGAAAAACGACACAAAGTTCTCCAAGTGCCATACATACGTTGAAAAGCATGAATCCAATAATAACAAAGTCGAGAACGAGTGCGCCAGGTCCACCACTTGCAAGAGCAGTACCTGAACCAACAAAAAGACCGGTACCAATCGCACCACCAATGGCAATCATTTGTAAATGTCGATTTTTTAACGTTCGATGCAAACCAGTTTCATCTTCCTCAACATTATTATTCGAATTGGCTCCTTCTTCTCGTTGATTCATTTCAATGGAAACATGTTCAGATTGTGGTGCACGTTTGAAGGAGTCGATCATCCGGTGAAATAAACTTATTTTTTGTGGTGGAAATATAACTGTATTGTTTTCATCTGCAATGTCATCTGCTGATGCAGTCAACTGATTATAAGGTCGTGAGTTTAGTGATGTTTGTGTCATTTTCAGTTGTAAGCAAATCTATGACGAAGAAATAGATTTATTCTGTCTACGGAAATATTTTTTATCATTGTTTTTTTTCATGATGTACGAATAT